GCCAGTTCTTGGGGAGGAGGCAGCACGCAGAGCCCCCCCCGGCCATCCCTCTGAGCCAAGGGATATGTCGCTGCGACAGTGGAGCCTACCAGCCCCGTGCCAACCAGACTTTTAATGGCCCAGTCAGCAACATCGACTGGAGCCAACAGGGTCCCTTTTCATTGGGTGTTCTGGTCAAAAACCTGGCAACCTTACTAGGAGAATTTACACCAGCTGAGTATGTGGGATAAAGTTTTCAAAAGTATTCAGATACTTAAAGGCATTGAGAGGCTTACAACTGCAAATAGGCGCCGAAGGAGATTTACCAAAGTGCCCACCTGCCAATTTGCATCTTAGGCGCTTGCATGCCTTTAAAAATCTGGCTCTAACTGGTGACATCACTTTGGAAAAATGGGCTTAGCTGCCCGAGTCACATGGGTGCTTTGGAGAAAGTCCCGTCATCCATCTATGGTCACACTCATTAAGATTTACTCTACATACTGTACAGAGAGAATCGACCCATCATACACTTTGAGAAATAACAATTTTCATTTTTTTCTTTCAGGAATGGCTGGAACAATATATTTTCTTGCTGATCTCTTGGTACCCACAAAGGCCAAGTTCCCAGCGTTTGAGCTATAAAACCCTTCCCCGCAGTTCCCTGCCGAATCCCACTGCACTCCATATCCATTGGACAAGGAGACGAGACTTGCTTGAGTCTCTTTCAAACTTCTCTCTTGTAAACCCCGTTCTGCTGTTCATGGTTTCAGTTCTTTTCCATCCTGAACATTTTTCTAATGGTCTTTTTGCTTTGTGCCTATTTTTTTTAAAAAAATGTGGCTTTTGTTATTGGTTCCTAACGATGGGAAATGTACAGTATTTTGTTGGCTATGTAAACTCAGCTTTGCTATTTGATGTATCTGAATTCCAGGGAGAGAAAAACGTCTGTGGGATGTAACTTTGTCCTTTGAACGTTGTCATGAGTAAGAGTGGTAGAAGTTTACAGTATTATCTTTGGAAAACAAAAGAGGAAAACTTCTGACTTTTATTCTCCTATTGGCAAAACTAAGTTCCTAATCTTGGAGCTAGACATTTCTAACAGCTCCTGCTTTCAAACTCCTCTCAAACTTCACACCTTCCTGCTTTTAAAGCAAAGACTGTTTCATTCTTTGTGTGTTTTGTCAGTGACAGGAAGGCATCAGCCATAGCCTATCGTACAGCTTTGCCCTGTTACGCTAAATGCTGCAGAAGAACTGCCTCCAGTCACTGAAAGTTTCAGTTAAAAGTTAAGCAACTGGCACATGTGATCTTCCCTGTTTAGTTTTAACTTAGAATTATACGTAACATTGCTGCTGTTAGTCAGGTGCACCAGGCCTGTAAACAGAAGTTATGGGAAAAGACGCCTCCCCCATTAAGTGTTGTCAGGTAGATGCTGTTGCGTAGGTAGATGCTGTTTGCAAAGTCAATGGGGCAGATCTTGTTGGCTGTAAATCGGTATTAATCCATTGATGGAGCTTCACTGGTTTACACTTCCTGAGGATCTGTCCCAGTAAACTCGTCCTCGAATGGACATGCTCTGGTAAAAGAGCACTCTCCATTAGCTACCTGCTGGAGGTGCCCTTTTATTCCTCAGATTGCCCCACACTGGAAGAAAGGGGGAAATGATTTTGACATTTCAAGGCTGCTTCTCGTGAGTGCCTAGAGACACTAACAGCGTCTACAGATGGCACCACTCTTAGAAAACCATCCCCCACTCTCGGATGAGAGTTGTAACCTCCACCATGTTCTGATCAAATGCCTTTGCTGCGTGCTCTCGCAGACTCACTCAGAAAAGGTTTCAGCATTGATTGATTGGGAAAACTGGAAACACAGTGGAGCTCATTTGCCGTTCGCCAGGTGTCCCAGTCAAAATCCTCAAGCTCATTTGGACTACCTATGCCACACTGCTTGCTTCTGAGCTTTTAGCACCCTGGTGAATAACCAGAAACCCAGTGGTCTCCAGGGAGGGGACGCTGACTAATTGCATAGCCCTGGGGAAGTGGCTATAAAAAAAATGAAGCCAGCTGTAAGTTAACTTGCATTCGTGCCTGTAGTGACAACTGCATTGAGACCTCCAGCTTGGGGTTTTTTTTTGGGGGGGGGGTATGTTAAACAATTTTAATTAAAGAAAAAGTTCATCCAACCTGTTGCGCACAGTATTCCAGCAGCAGGTGTGCTTCTGTGCTTGTACATGTAGTACCTGAAAACAGCTGGGGACGTGGTGTACGCTTTAGGTTGGAAATGGATTAATAAAATGCTGAAAAAATGAGTAGTCCTGTGGCACCTTAGAGACTAACAAATATATATATATATATAAAATTATCATGAGCTTTTGTGGGCAGGCTGAAACAAAGTGTAAAATCTTTTTTTTAGGCTGTGTCTAGACTGCAAAGTTCTATTGGGAAAAGATATGCAAATTTTCCGCTTTTCTTCTGAAAGAGGCTTTTCTGACAATTGGTCCATCTACACTGGGCCAAATGTTGGGAAAAAAAGCCTCTTTCCTCGCAGAATGAGGTTTACACGGATACCAAAAAAACGCGTCTGCTTTTCCGACATCTTTTTCGGAAAAGCAAATGCGTTCCTTGGATGCGGCAGAGCTTCCCGGAAAAACTCTGCAGTCTAGACATACCCTCAGTGAACAGGCTTAAGGGTATGTCTACACTTGCCCCCTAGTTCGAACTAGGGAGGCAAATGAAGTATATCAAATGCAACTGATTTAAATATCCTGCGCTTGATTAGCATATTCACAGCCAGTCACCATTTTAAAAAGCCAGTAGCCCGAATTAACTCGCTGCGTGTAGACGCAGTAGTCCGATCCAAAACCCTTCCCTCGAATTAACTGGGACTCTGCAGTGGTGGCCAGTTGGAAAGTCCCATATGGAACCTCTGTGTAGCATGCTGCAGATGCAGCATGAACACCCGCACAGAGATGCCTGCCTGTGGTTTCATGGAGAGCATGTGAATTGTCATTTTTGCCCACTTACTCTAGTTTCTGTGGCACGCTGCTGGCAGCATGGCAAGCCTCTGACTACAGCATTTGCAACTATCGCCTCTCGTTTTCATGTAACGCCCGGTTCCCGTACCCAAGAGTGTGCCGATGTAATTTGGTAAGTGTTGTGGTTTGTCAAAAAGCCTGGACACACTAGTGGAGTTTCACTGAAGGGCTCAGAGAGCAAACGGAAAAAGAGCCCTCAAACCTTTGCATTGCCGTGGGTGTGCTGAGGACTGGGAGGGGGAGGGCGTCATGCAGTCTGGGTGGCTCCAAGGGCCGCCTCAGGAATTAGCTCTTCAGCCTCAGAGCACCCTCTGCTGACTGGTCTCGCTCTCATGGACCTGCCTTCTGCACTGGTTGAAGTGCTGTGTCCCTTCCTTCCTCTTTCCTTGTGACACTGCCCTGTGACAGTATCCCTGCACTCTGGGCTACCTCGCAGGGAACCCCAGTTGCCTCAGTGTCCCACTTCTAGCCATCATCTCGCCCTGCCTCTGGGGCACACTGCCCTCTGAAACGACCACTCCGCATTGGCAAGGGGCTGGTCCCACCGCCTTCTGCTGCCCTGGCAGCCCATGTACCTTCAGGCCTTGAAAGCAAGGCCTTAGCCTTGGAGTTTGCCTGGCCGGAGCTCCCCAGCTCTGCCTGCCTTTCCCCAGCCCCGCTCTCTGTCAGGTCCCCTCTCTCGCCTACCTGCACCCTGGTGCTGCCTGCTCCACAGCTGGAGCAAGAGTCTGCTGTTTCCCTCCTCTCCAGGAGCCCCTCTTTATACAGCCCACACTGAGCCCTAATTAGCGATTTACCACAACTGGCCAGTGAGGGGCCAACGCCATGTCTCTCTCGCACACACACAAGCTTTTGCACTGCTCCCGAGGGGTATGAGAAATACATTTCTGTGTTGTCATTTAAATGATTTACCCAAAGTCCTGCCAGCAAGGGAAGCCCCGAGAGCCAGGAGAGACCGTGTACATATTTGCAGTTCTGTGCCTGGCGCCACACCCAGATCTCAATTATAGGAAGGGCCCTACCACATTCAGGTCCATTTTACAGAAGACTAGTGTTGGAGGAGACCTCAGGAACTCATCTGGTCCAACCCCCTGCTCTAGGCAGGACCAACCCCAACTCAATCATCCCAGCCAGGGCTTTGTCAAGCCAGGACTTAATGTTTAAGGATGGAGATTCCACCATCTCCAGGGGCAACCCATTCCAGTACTTCCCCACCCTCCTAGTGAAATAGCTTTTCCTAATATCCAACCTAGACCTCCCCCACCCTGATACTTCAGACCATTGCTCTGGGATCTGTCCTATGATTAAAAAGAAAGTAAAGTTCATTAGTTCAGCAACTGACATCTGGAATTTCATGATGCAATTGTAGAGGTCCTGACCCAAAAAGGAGTTGTGGGGTCACAAAGTTATTTTTGGGGGGGGGGGAGGTGATACTGCTATCCTTACTTTTGTGATGTGCTGGTGGGGGCTCTGACTTCAGCGCTGGGCAGCTGGAGAGCTAGAGAAGAACACCAGCTCTGGCCATAGTACATCTGAGCGGTTAAATCCTGAACTGAAGTCCATGGGAGCTTTGCCATCAATTTCATCCCCAGGATTGAAAGTGCCCCCATTGAACTGCTAAAATTGTGCAGTTGACCTTCCTGGAGAAGTCTGATTAGAAATAGCTGTATGTATACGAATGTATAATCTACCTTTGCTCCATTTGTCAATAACACAATAGAAATAACACACACACACACACACACACACAAAACAATCTAGGAGTGTTATTTTTAAAAAGCTACGCACTCTCCCTTTTTTATCACAGTCTTAGCATATGAGGTGAGGCTGGAAATTGACGCAGGTCAATATTCTGCACAAACAGCCAGTCTTTGAAAGACATGTTAACCTTTGCTTTATTTCATCAGTCAGCACACACTGGGCATGCTGTTATGAGACTATCTACAAGGCATGGATGCTAAGGCTTCATGCCTGTATATTGTTCTTTAAATACAGAAGAGAATGAAGACGTGATGGTTTTGCTCTGCGGACACCTATGCCCTTTGTACCAGGGGAGTATCTCACAGGCAAATGGCGTATTTTCATGTAAAGCATGTAAAAATATTAATGGGGTGATTATAGAAGAGGTGTGTTTTCCCTCCAGCAGATGGCAATAGAGTTCACTAGTTTTATTGCTCTGACTAAACCAGGGCTGGATTACCCAATAGGCAGACTAAGCACGTACTTAGGGCACCAGCAAAACAGGGGCACAAAAAAAAAAAAAAAAAAAGATTTTATGGTATAGTATTGTTTTTATTTTGAATTACATGGGGGGGGGGGGGACCATAATCTTTTCAGTGCTTAGGGCCTCTGAAGGTCTTAATCCGGCCCTGACTAAGACCAAGGACAATGTTTAAAATTCTGGTGTACAAATTTCACAATTAAAATTAAAGAATTTCCCACATTTGGCATTTTGCTGCAAATTGACCTGTGGCACTGGAAACCGTATTTGTGAATTCTGTGCTGCTCGTACTAATAATGACTGGGGTTAATTGGTGGTGTAAGTGAGTACAATGTCATTCATTTCAATTGAAGTTTTACCTCCTTCCCTAACCCTAACGTAAGGATGAATTTATCCCACTAACTTAAACAATGGATCACCCTGAACCATTTTAGTCATTGTTTGGGTCAGTGCTAAGCAGGAAACATGCCAATGCAAATTGGTGACATATGGAAATGAAAATTCTAAGCCACATAACAGACATTTTCCCCTCCGCAAATTTTGTATTTCTCCAGGCTGCTCTACCTAGGAATGTCCAAACCAGTTACAAATGAGTCATTAAGCATCACACCATGGTTTGCAGAGGGATAGGTGGTACAAAGAGCTAGCAGGCTAGCCTATGAGTTTTAAATTGTAGTTTCTTTTAACCACTGTACACCGCTCTCTTCTATTGTGATAGCACTAAATTAAATTTGCTCTTCCTAGCAGCAGTCACATTGAAAAGACAATTAAAAGCAACTAACTTTACAGATTAGACATACAAATGCAGAGGCCAGGCTACGAGCCAATATTGAAATGGGCAAACATAAGAGTTGGGTTCTCTTTGAATATGATTTGGGCCTGTTGCTTTGAGCTAGCCCGAACCATTGCTAACAGGCAGACAAGGTTTTTTCTGTGCTGCCAGAAACAGCCCAAATCCCTGAATTCTTCCGATTGTCTTCATTCATTAGAACAACAGGCGACCTTGAGAATACTCCTTTGAAAATGTATGTACTTCCTAAAGAAATACAGTTCCCCTCTTAAAGGGTGTAACTCGTTCTCCTTCATTTTCTGCCTTTACACACGCATGATGGGAATGGGTGTTCTGTTGGGGGAAATGTGCCCCTAAGAGGTGGAGTAGTGAAAAAAGTAATTACTTGGTTACCCTGGGACCATCATGTTCCATTTACTACATTTTATGAGAAATTCTGCTGGCGCAGTTGAGTCTCTGGTTACCTTGCTTTATTTTTTTAAAATTCCTTCTGTCCCTTCAACAGAGGTTTCAGAACGACAGAGTCCTCCTTTCTTGAGTCCTCCGCTCAAAGATGAAAAGCCCTAGATAACTAGGATAAGCAGCTGCCTTTGGAAGAGCCCATCAAGAAACACTTAGATCACAATGGAGCATGGAAGATGCCCCTCTGCACCAAATGGACTTTCCGGTGAACATTTGAACTAGAGCGCGTGAGTAATGGCTTCTGCTATGACTAAGCAAAACCGTTCATGGACATGTAACTTGCCCATGTGACTCCACACTCCATCTTTACCTGCCATTTTACACTGGCTGTGCTGAGGGCTTGGTGTGGAACAATGGATATCCCCGCACATGTTAGAAGCTATAAAAGGTCCTGAAAACACCACCATTTTGCCTCTTTCCTGCTCAAACCTCTGGACTATACACTTATATGAATGGAGGAGATGGGGAGCATTGTAACAAAGGGACTGGAAGTAACTAAAGACTTTATTTAAGCCAACAGTTACCATCGCTGTTATAAGCCTGAACCAAGAACTTCACAATTACTGCATATATTTGATTCCTTTAACCAATGTTAACTCTCGCCTTTCTTTCCACAAACAAACCTTTAGCTAGATATACCAAACCAGCCACAAAATTAATTCTCTCACAACACTGGCTAACAAGAAGACATAAAAGCAGTTTCCTGAGGCATTTTAGCCTTTCTATCACCACCAAAATCATTGGATTCAGATATGAGTGGCTCTTTATCATCCGGCTCATCAAATGAAAGGTGGTTCTGAT